TGTCTCGAGGGGGTCCTCCAGGACACCCCTCACGTCTCCTGCCTAGAGGGGGTCCTGGAGGACGCCTCTCACGTTTCCTGTCACGACGGGGTTCTGGAGGACGTCCCTCACGTTTCCTGTCTCGAGGGGGTCATGGAGGACGCCCCTCACGTTTCCTGTCTCAAGGGGGTCCTGGAGGACGCCTCTCACATTTCTTGTCTTGAGGGGGTCCTGGAGGACACCTCTCACATTTCCTGTCTCGAGGGGGTCCTGGAGGACGCCCCTCACGTTTCCTGTCTCGAGGGGGTCCTCAAGGACGCCCCTCACGTCTCCTGTCTAGAGGGGGTCCTGGAGGACGCTTCTCACATTTCCTGTCTTGAGGGGGTCCCGGAAGATGCCCCTCACATCATCTGTAGTCCTGGGTTCTTCACACCATCCGCCGAAGACTCTTCAACTTCCGCCGAAGACTCTGCGCCTCTTGCCCAAGATTTTGAACCTGCCACCGAAGATCTTGAATCTGCAGAGGTTCCTCAGCCTGGGGATCCTGAGCTTGCTGAGGCCTCCACGCAGACTACTGAGGCTCCCTCGCAGACCCAAGAGGCCTCCACACAGTCCACAGACATGTCCTCGATGCCCGCTGAAGCCCCCGTGTGCTCCTCGACGCCCCCGTGTGCTCCTCGACGTCTCCTACGTGTTTCTCGCCTTTCGTGGGAAGTTCCATGCCAGCGGCAGCATCCTGGGTCAACCTGCCTGTGGAATCGATGATTCCCCCACTTGCCTTTCTTTCCCCGTGCTGGGCGGTCATGGACCCTCAGGGTGAACTTTTCCATTGGCCGTCCACCTGAATTGTTGACCCATTCTGGACGGTCTCCCGGCAGCCCCCCTGAACTCGCTCCTCATGTCGGACGGCCTCCCGGCCGCCCCCCTGAGCTCGCTCCTCATGTCGGATGGCCTCCCAGCCACCCCCCTGAACTCGCTCCTCAGGTCGGACGGCCTCCCGGCCGCCCCCTGAACTTTTGATGTTTTCTGGTGTTTAGTCTTTGTGTTTAGTTCCCAGGCCTCGTCCTGTCGGTTTTTGGTTTCTTGTCCTTGTGTTCTTCTCGTGCCCTCCATCCTTGCAGTTCCTCCCTCCGCCTGCCCTAGTTTTTATTTTTGGGGTTGAGGGGTTTCTGGGGACGCCAGGGGGCGTCCTTGGGGGGAGGGTACTGTAAGGATGGCGCCCTCTGCTGGGCCTTCCTTGTCTGTTCTCCCTGTTTTCTCTGATTGTCTGATAGTCTCCACCTTCGTGTCCTGCCAGGTGTGTGTGATCGTTTCTCAGTGTGTGCTTGTATATAAGTCTACGTCTTTGTATTTCTCATTGTCTGGGCATCGTCTGGGCATCGTCTGGTATCATCCTGTGTTTCTGGTTTTCCTTGTGTCCCTGGTTTCCCTCGAGACATGTAAGTGTTTTGCTGCCATGTCAGCTTATTATTTTGTATTATTAAAGTGCTTTAATTTCCTCCCTGGTCCTGAGTCCTGCCTGCGCTACTGGGTTCTGTGCCAAACACAAATCCTGACAGTATGGAGGAATGAGCTAAAATTCCTCAAAGCTGGTGTGCAGGACTGAGTAACAGTTACCAGAAACATTTAGTTGAAGTTATTGTAATATGGATATTGGATAAATTTCCTCAATAAATAAATGACCAGTTATAATATGATATTTTTGTCTCATTTGTTGAACTGGGTTCTCTCTACATTTAGGAATTGTGTGAAAATCTTATGGTGATTTAGGTCTTATATATGCAGAAATATAGAAAATTCTAAAGGCTTCACAAACTTTCAAGCACCAATGTACATGTCCTGTACCAGTCTAACATACTTCTCTGCCACTCCAGAGTTCTTCATATAACACCACACCTCCTCCCTCGGAACCCTGTCATATGCTTTTTCTAAATCCAAAAAGACACAATGGAGTTCTTTCTGACCCTCTCTGTACTTCTCCATAAACATTCTCAAAGCAAAGATGGCATTTGTGGTGCTCTTTCTCAGCATGAAACCATACTGCTGCTCACAGTCACCTCTCGCCCAAGTCTTGCTTTCACAACTCTCTCACAGATCTTCATTGTGTGACTCATAAACTTCATTCCCTGCAGTTGCTACAACTTCGTACATCACTCTTGTTCTTAATAGTGGCACACTTCTCCTCCATTCCTCAGGCATTTTCTCACCCTCAAATATGCCATTGAATGTTTGAGTCAAAAACCTGATCTCTCCAAGGCATTTCCAAACCTCGACTGGTATGTCATCAGGTCCTTCATTCTTTTCAGAGCTTTCCAGACTTCACCCTCTCTAATCTTTCCCACTTTCTGGTCCACAGTTTCTATGACCTCTACTCTTTTTTCTCTTTCATTCTCTTCATTCATTAGTTCCTCAAAGTACTCCTTCCATATTCCTGTCACACTCTCCTCACTTGTTAAAACATTACCATTCCTATCTTTAACAAGCCTAACCTGCTACACATCCTTTCTAGCCTGATCCCTCTGTCTCACCAATCGGTACAAGTTCTTCTCACCCTTTTTAGTGTCCAGCCTCCCATACAACTCATCATATGCCTTCCACTTTGACTTTGCTACCTCCATCTTTGCTCTATGTCCCATCTCCTTATATTCCTGTCTCCTCGCTTCAGTCCTCTCACTGTCACATTTCTTCTTGACTAACCTCTTTCTTTGAATAGCTTCCTGCACTTCATTATTCCACCACCAGATTTCCTTATCATCCATTATCTGATCAGATGACACACCAAGTACCTTCCTACATGTCTTACCTCTCTAATTACTGTTGCTGCATTAACCCAGTCATTTGAAGCTCTTTCTTTCCACCCAGAGCCTTTAACAGCTTCTCTGTGAATTTCTCACAACATTCTTCCTTCTTCATCTTCCACCATTTGATCTTCTTCTCTGATGTTACTCGTTTTCTCTTCTTCACAACAGTCATTCCACACACAACCATCCGATGCTGTCTGACCATGCTCTCCCCTGCCACAACCTTACAGTCTCCAATCTCCCTCAGGTTTCCTCTTCTATACAGAATGTAGTCGACCTGCGTAGTCCTTCCTCCACTCTTATAGGTCACTCTTTGTTCCTCCCTCTTTTGGAAATAGGTGTTGACTACAGCCATTTCTCTTCTCTTGGAAAAGTCCACCACCATCTGTCCTTCCTGGTTTCTTTCCTTGACACCAAACCTACCCATCACTTCCTCATCCCCTGTTTCCTTCACCAACATGTCCATTCAGGTCCGCTCTGATCACCACTCTCTCCTCCCTGGGAATACTGTCTATCACTTCATCCAGATCTTTCCTAAATTTATCTTTCTTCTCCACATCACATCCAACCTGTGGTGCATAACCACTGACATCATTAAGCATTAGACCTTCTACTTCTACCTTCAGCCACATCACCCTATCTGTCACTCTTTTCACCTCTACTACATTATTTGTCAACTCCTCCTTCAGGACCACCCCTACTCCATTTTTTTGTCTATCCACACCGTGATAAAACAGTTTAAACCCTGCTCCAATGCTGCGAGCCTTGCTGCCATTCCACTTGGTCTTTTGGACACATAAAACATCTACTTTCCTTCTCTGCATCATGTCAGGCAACTCTCTACCTATGTCAGTCATCGTCCCCACATTTAAAGTTGCAACCCTCAGTCCTACATTCTTGACTTTCCTCTTCTCCCTCTGTCTCCTGACACGTTTCCCTCATCATGGTCTTTGACTAACCTCACCAGTAGATAAACATCATAAAAGGTGAAAAAAGTGTTTATTAATGACATTGCAGTTTTATCAGATATATGAGATATTCCACTATAAAACTTACGCTGTGGAACACTAAAGCCTGTTTCTCACTGGGTTGTGACTGTTGGTAAACATCATTTGTGAGGTAGACTTAAAAAGAATCACCCCAAAATACCTGCACTCATGCCAGTGAGACAGCAAGAGAAAATTTGCCACAATTTTCTCACAATTTACTCTGAATTTTGAATGACAAATTCAGCAGTAAGATATAGTAAGATAAGGGGTGGCTGTGGCTGAGTGGTTAGAGCAGTCGTCCTCAAATGCGAGAGTTGGGGGTTCGAATCCACCAGCAGTCACATGTCGAAGTGTCCCTGGGCAAAACACTGAACCCCTCACAGCCTCTGATGTGTGTCCCATCCGTGTATGAATGTGATAAAGCACTGATTAGTCTCATTAGAATGATTTGTTCAATTAGCTTTGTAGAGATCTAGTAGAGTGCTGTATGAATGGGTAAATGAGGACACAGATTTTAGTGTAAAGCGCTTTGAGTATCTTGAAATAAGATAGAAAGGCACTATACAAGTACAGTCCATTTACCATTTACCATTTATATGGCCCATGGATACAACCATGGGCCTGTTCTGCTCTTTGCCCCTTTTCACAGAAGGGGCAGCTGTGGCTGAGTGGTTAGAGCAGTTGTCCTCCAATGAAAGAGTTGGGGGTTTGAATCCATCAGCATTCACATACTGAAGTGTCCCTGGGCAAGACACTGAACCCCTCATAGCCTCTGATGTGTGTCCCATCAGTGTATGAATTTGATCTAAAGCACTGATTAGTCTCATTAGAATGATTTGTTCAATTAGCTTTGTAGAGATCTAGTAGAGTGCTGTATGAATGGGTAAATGAGGACACAGATTGTAGTGTAAAGCGCTTTGAATATCTTGAAATAAGATAGAAGGCGCTATATAAGTACAGTCCATTTACCATCCATTTACTGACTAGATGACACATGAAAAATCAAACAAAATTGTTATACCATGGTGTCCTGTTGGAATGTGACTGAGTCTCTGCCTGCAGACCCTGAAGGGACAAGCCTGGCTCCTGGACAGTAGGGGCACACTGTTCACTGCTTGTAATTCTGTGACAAAATGGTAGAGTCTTCAGTGAGTTAACACCTACCTTAGAAGCCCACAAAAACACTTTCAAATGTAAAGATCTTAGTCATTTACCTTGCTTGTCATTGGTCTTTTTTTCCCATGACTCCCTCAGCAGACCCATCTTTGGTTGAGGCCGTATGGCCTGTTTCCAGGGCAGACTTTCACGGCTGCTACAGGACGAAGACTTGGAGGCAGGCTGTGTGAAAATCTGGATGGTCTCTGTTCCTTGCTGATGAAGAAAATCTTGAGACAATTTTGCAGAATGTCCAGGACTGTTGAAGGTCTTCATCCCATTGCCCATCAAGTCCACATAAAACGTTCCATAAACACCACAACCGTCAGTCGCACTGGTGTCCTTAGATGAGACTGGGAGACCTGATGACATTTATTAACACAAAGAGTAGTTTGCAATATTAATTCTGATAGCAGTTTGTGATGACAAAAAAGTGAAGGTCTCAAAAAAAAAGTGTACATGCATGTGTGTCTACAGGTGTAGACTGCAGTGAGCCTGCTGCTGAGCCTTCAAACAAGTTCTCTCTAATTTATCAAGGGAATAGCTTTAACTTTGCTCACCTTGGCTTCTGTTCTCTCACTCATTCTTCTGTTCTCACTTGCTCCATATGTCAGATTATTACCTATTCATCTACTTCATCTAATAAACATAGTCTTAGTAGCTTTTGAGGAGAAGCTGTATGAATTTTCTGAATTAGAAGCTCACCTCCATACTCTTGATATTCTATTAGCTAGCCAGGCCACCTTAGCCAGTGCAGAGCCACTAGGAGTAGTTCCTGTAGCATCCTGTAGCAGTTTTCCTGCAGACCAAAACCAGCTGGACTCCAAGACAGCTGGGTGATGGTTTTGAGAAAGCAGTGTTAAGACTTAAGCCCTATTCACCACCAACCCAATCACATTTTAAACAAATTTTCTTACTCAGTGACACACCAAGTAAGTGAACAGACTTTGGTAATTGACAGCTTTGTGGTTCAAACTGAGACACTAGGGACACCAGTGACCATAGGCAAATGCATTCAGGGGGCCAAACAGATGACATTAAACTCTAATTTTAACTGTTGACCAAGGCTAAACATTAATACAGTAAGATTGTTATTCATGTCAGATGTAATGACACCTGTTATAACAACTAGAAGTCACACTAAAGTTTTGATGTATTGTTTTTGTACTACTAGTACTTAATGTATTTTTTAGTTTAACGTTTTTCTTAGTTCATATCTTAGATCTTAATACTGTTTATCTTTTACATTTTATACTTTTGTTGGATGTAACTGGGACCCTGTGTACACAATTTTGTTCCACTATATGTACCACATGTGGTGTGTATGAAAAATAAAGAACCTTGAATCCTTGAATAAACATTTGAAATATATCAGTATGTGTGTAATGAATAAATATAATATACAAGTTTCACTTTTGAATGGAATTACTGAAATAAATCAACTTTTTCATGATATTCTAATGTTATGAGCAGCACCAGACAGAACTTTATTGATCCCGCAGGAAATTGTTGTGCCAGAGTTTCAGTATAAAGGAACAAACACAAGGAATCAGACAATAAAAAATAACAGAGAATATAAAAATACCAGCAACTACGGTCTAAAACAGGTGCAGACAGAAACATTTGTTTATTGTGGTGCAGGATTAATTTTATTATCCTATGTGTAGAAAGGGGGAGGAGTGTAAAAGTTCGATAGCCACAGGGAAGAAGGACTTCCTGTGTTGTTCTGTGGAGCACCTCGGTGGTCTCAGTCTATGACTGAAGGTGCTGCAGTAAGAGTCCAGGGTGTCATGCAGGGAGTGTGACGTGTTGTTCAGGATATGGAGCAGTTTCCTCAGCATCCTCTGCTAATATAATAATAATAATAATATTACTCCCTTCCTCACTTTTTAGCTTTGCCCTATGAGCCCTTCTATAAAAATGAGTTTATCAAAGAAAAGTGGACAGTGAGTGCTGAGTGTTCAATACAGAATGGACAACAAAATGTTTTTTCACTCAAATCCTATCAAAGTCTGCACGTATATGCCAAAAAACAGGTGCAGTTTTCAAAAAGTACAATATCAGCCGTCACATGGCTATGAAGCATGCCAACTACGCTAGCAAGCAGTCAACGCAAGAACGAGCAGCTACAGCTCAGAGGTTGACAGCTATTTTACGGACTCAGCAACATTTTTTTAACCGACAAACTACGATTCAAGAGTCAACTAGCAAGGCAAGTTTTTTGCTGGCATTCAAATTAGCAAAGGCTAGCAAGCCTTTAATCCTTTCTCTGAAGGTGAGTTTGGAGACCAGTCCAGGTCTCTGTGATGGACTGGAGACCTCTCAAGGTCCTTGTGATGGACTGGAGAACTGTCCAGGTCCCTGTGATGAACTGGAGACTTGTCCAGGTCTCTGTGATGGACGGGAGACCTGTCCAGGTCCCTGTGCTGGGCTGGAGAACTGTCCAGGTCCCTGTGATGGGCTGGAGACCTGTCCAGGTCCCTGTGATGGGCTGGAGATCTGTCCAGGTCCCTGTGATGGGATGGAGACCTGTTCAGGTTCCTATGATGGACTGGAGACCTGTCAAGGTCTCTGTGATGGACTGGAGACCTGTCCTCCCTGTGATGGACTGGAGACTTGGCCAGGTCTCTGTGATGGACAGGAGACCAATCCAGATCCCTGTGATGGACTGGAGACCTGTCAAGGTCCCTGTGATGGACTGGAGAACTTTCCAGGTCTCTGTGATGGACTGGAGACCTGTCCAGGTCCCTGTGATGGGCTGGAGACCTGTCCAGGTCCCTGTGATGGACTGGAGACCTGTCCAGGTCCCTGTGATGGACTGGAGATCTTTCCAGGTCCCTGTGATGGACTGGAGACTTGTCCATGTCCCTGTGATGGACTGGAGACCTGTCCATGTCCCTGTAATGGGCTGGATACCTGTCCAGGTCCCTGTGATGGGCTGGAGACCTGTCCAGGTCCCTGTGATGAACTGGAGACCTGTCCAGGTCCCTGTGATGGACTGGAGATCTTTCCAGGTCCCTCTGATGGACTGGAGACCTGTCCAGGTCCCTGTGATGGACTGGAGAACTATTCAGGTCTCTGTGAAGGACTGGAGACCTGTCCAGGTCTCTGTGATGGACTGGAGACCTGTCTAGGTCTCTGTGATGGACCTGTCCAGGGTGACCCCCGCTTCTTACATTGGGACTGCTGGACATGAGTACCATTAGCCCCTGTGACCAGAAAAGGAAGAAGCGGGTAAATGATGGATGGATGGATGGATGGATTCATCCATCCATCCATCCATTTTCTTCCACTTATCCAGTTTCGGGTCGCAGGGGTAGCAGCCTAAGAAGGGAGGCCCAGACATCCCTCTCCCCAGCAACTTGGTCCAGCTCCTCCGGGGGAATCCCAAGGCGTTCCCAGGCCAGCCGAGAAAAATAGTCCCTCCAGCATGTCCTGGGTTGTCCTCTGGGTCTCCTCCCAGTGGGACGTGTCCGTAACACCTCACCAGGGAGGCGTCCAGGAGGCATATTAAACAGATGCCCGAGCCACCTCAACTGGATCCTCTCGACTTGGAGAAGCAGCGGCTCTACTCTGAGTCCCTCCTGGATGATCGTGCTTCTCACCCTATCTCTAAGGGAGAGCCCAGACACCCTGCAGAGAAAACTCATTTCGGCCGCTTGTATCCGAGATCTCGTTCTTTCGGTCACAACCCAAAGCTCATGACCATAGATGAGGGTAGAAACGTACTTTGTAGATCAATCGGTAAATTGAGAGCTTTGCATTTTGACTCAGCTCTCTCTTCACCATGACAGACCTGTACAGCGCCTGCTTCACTACAGATGCTGCGAATATCTGCATATCGATCTCACGTTCCATTTTTCCCTCATTCGTGAACAAGACCCCAAGATACTTGAACTACTTCACTTGGGGCAGGACCCCGTCCCTTACCCGGATAGGGCACTCTACCCTTTTCGGGCTCAAGACCATGGCCTCGGATTTGGAGGAACTAATCTTCATCACGGCCGTGTTCCACTTGGCTGCGAACCGCTCCAGCGAAAGCTGTAGATCACAATCTGATGAAGCCAATAGGACCACATCATCTGCAAAAAGCAGAGACACAATCCTAAAGCCACCAAAACGGCCACCATAAAGCCCACCAAAACGGAGTCCAACGCTCACCGGGAACAAGCCCGACTTACTGCCGGCAATGCGGACCAGGCTCTGACACCGGTCATACAGGGACCTAACAGCACATATCAAAGGGCCCGGTACCCCCTACTCCCAGAGTACCCCCCACAGGGTTCCCCAAGGAACGCGGTCGAACACCTTCTCCAAGTCCACAAAGCGCATGTAGACTGGTTGGGCAAACCCCTACACAACCTCCAGGACCCTGCTGAGAGTGTAGAACTTGTCCAGTGTTCCACGACCAGGACAAAAACCACACTGCTCCTCCTGAATCCGAGGTTCGACAATCTGATGGACCCTCCTCTCCAGAACCCCCGAATAGACCTTAGCAGGAAGGCTTAACAGCGTGATTCCCCTGTAGTTGGAACACACTCTATGGTCCCCCTTTCTGAATAGGGGGACCACCACCCCGGTCTGCCAGTCCAGGGGAACTTCCCCCAATGTCCATGCAATATTGCAGTCACGTAAGCCAACACAACCCTACAACATCCAGAGCCTTAAGGAACTCCAGGCGAATCTCATCCACCCCTGGGACCCTGCCACCGAGGAGCGTTTTAACTACCTCGGTGACCTCAGCACCAGGGATTTGAGGGCCCAACCCAGAGTCCCCAGGCTCCGCATCCTCAGTGGAAGACGTGCCGGTGGGATTGAGGAGGTCTTCAAAGTATTCTGCCCACCGACCCATGACATCCCGAGTTGACGTCAGCAGCACACCACCCCCATCATAAACAGTGTTGGTGGTGTACCGTTTTCCCCCCCTGAGACGCCGGATGGTGGACCAGAATCGCCTCGAAGCCGTGCGGAAGTCATTCTCCATGGCCTTTCTGAATTCCTCCCATGCCCGAGTTTTTGCCTCAGCGACCACCCGAGCCACATGTCACTTGGACTGCCGGTACCCATCAGCTGCTTCTGGGGTCCCACAGGTCAAAAAGGCCCAATAGGACTCCTTCTTCAGCCTAACAGCATCCCTTACCAACGGTGTCCACCAATGGGTTCAAGGGTTGCCGCCGCGACAGGCACCGACAACCTTGCGGCCACAGCTCTGGTAAGCCGCCTCGACAATAGAGGCATGGAACATGGCCCACTCAGACTCAATGTCCCCCACCTCCCCCGGAACATGATTCAAGTTCTCCCGGAGGTGGGAGTTAAAGCTCCGTCTCACAAGAGACTCTGCCAGACTTTCCCAGCAAACTCTCACAATACATTTGTGTCTGCCAGGTCTGACCGGCATCCTCCCCCACCATCGGAGCCAACTCACCACCAGGTAGTGATCAGTGGACAGCTCCGCCCCTGTCTTCACCCGAGTGTACAAGACATTTGGCCGCAGACCAGATGAGACGACAATAAAGTCGATCATCGAAATGTGGCCTAGGGTGTCCTGGTGCCAAGAGCACATTTGGACACCCTTATGCTTGAACATGGTTTTCGTTATGGACAATCCATGACGAGCAAAGAAGTCCAACAACAGAACACCACTCGGGTTCAGATCAGGGGGGCCGTTCCTCCCAACCACACCCCTCCAGGTCTCACTGTCATTGCCCACATGAGCATTGAAGTCCCCCAGCAGAACAAGGGAGTCCCCAGGAGGTGCACTTTCCAGTACCCCCTCCAAGGACTCCAAAAAGGGTGTATAATCTGAACTGCCGTTTGGTGCATAAGCACAAACGACAGTCAGAACCCGTCCCCCCACACGTAGGTGGAGGGAGGCCACTCTCTCATTCACCGGGGTGAACCCCAACACACAGGCACCAAGATGGGGGGCAATAAATATGTCCACTCCTGCTCAGCGTCTCTCACCAGGGGCAACTCCAGAGTGGAAGAGTGTCCAACCCCTCTCAAGGAAACTGGTTCCAGAGCCAGAGCCATGTGTAGAGGTGAGTCCGACTATTTCTAGCCGGAACCTCTCAACCTCACACACCAGCTCAGGCTCCTTCCTCACCAGTGAGGTGACATTCCACGTCCCAATAGCCAGCTTCTGTAGCCGAAGATTAGACCACCAAGGTCCCCGCCCTCGGCCACCACCCATCCCACATTGCACCCGACCCCTTTGCTCCCTCCCACAGGTGGTGAGCCCATGGGCAAGGGGACCCACGTCTCCTCTTCAGACTGTGCCCGGCCGAGTTCCATGGGTAAAAGCCCGGCCACCAGGCGCTCACCCGCGTGCCCCACCTCCAGGCCTGACTCCAGAGTGGGCCCCGGTGACCCACGTCCGGGCAAGGGAACATCAAGTCCATTTCTTTTTCTCATCATAGGGTTGTTTGGGCTGCACTTTGTCTGGTCCCTCACCTAGGACCTGTCTGCCTTGGGTGACCCTACTAGGGGGGTAAAGCCCCTGATAGCATAGCTCCTAGGGTCATTGGGACACTCAAACCCCTCCACCACGGTAAGGTGGCAGCCCAGGGAGGGATAAATGGATTGACTGATGTTAAAATTTTGAGCAGCAGCAGAGTTGGTACCCTCCAACGTTTCTTTAGTTATTGCAACTAATATATTTATCAAGACAGACATGGCTCCAGAAATCTGTGTAAAATCACAATAAATACTCACTGGTACTCCTAATTTCAGAATGATTGTGACCCTGGGCCCACAGGTCCTGGTACTTCTTGTTGAAGGGGGGTCTCCAGCTCCCAGAGAGCCATGGCAGGTCTGCAGAGGCCATCCTATTGAAGAGACGGGTCATGCCATTTGGAAAAATGTTTAAGAAAATTGAGGTTCTTCAGAAGTTTTGGAGGTTATAGAAGAATTGTAAATAAAAAAAATAAAAAAAACATAGTTGCAAATTTTTTTATTATAAATTAAATATAGACAAAAGTGAACTTTTATTATTAAGATAAGAAGCATATACAGTGAGGAAAATAAGTATTTGAACACCCTGCAACTTTGCAAGTTCTCCCACTTAGAAATCATGGAGGAGTCTGACATTTTTTATCTTAGGTGCATGTCCACTGTGAGAGATATAATCTAAAAAAAAAATCTGGAAATCATAATGTATGATCTTTTTTTTTGATCCAGGTATTTTTTATTATCTTTTTTTCAACAGCTAAATAAACAAAACAAACAAACAAACAAACAAACAAACAAACATGTACACCCCTCCCCTCGATACCAGATATTCACATGAGAAAAAGAAAAAAACAAAACATGTTTAAAGTATATATAAAACTATACATATATTTGATAGTGAGTCATTGGGCTATATACATTCAGCATAATATAATCATGAGTCAAAATCACAGGCTGACATAGTCTCAATATAACAAATAAATGGTTGCCATGAAGCGTAGAATTTTCCAGCGCAAGCTCTAGTGGTGAACTTAATCTGTTCCAGATGAATGTGGCTCATTACGTCTGTAATCCAGTGGCCAAATGTTGGAGGTAGAGGGTCCTTCCACTTGATGAGAATAAGTCTTATGGCCAACAAGGAGGAGTACACAATCATATTAGGGTGCATTCACACTAGCCCTGTTTAGTCCGCTTTAATTGAACTCTAGCTCGTTTTCCTAGAAAGTCCGGTTCGTTTAGGGAGGTGTGAACTCGCCATCGAACTCTTGTCACGGAACAAAAAGGCGAACTCTGGCCCGGGCTAAAACCTAGGTCTCGGTCCGGTAGAAGCGAACTCCAGCGTGGTTCGAGTGCAGTGTGAATGTAAACAGACCGAGCCCCGCTCCACAGGGTAAACAAACACGCATTTCTCTGACCTTATATGGAGCCGTCAGCTGCCTTGTGTGGAAAAACAATATTCTCCATGGTCTTCTGTCTCATCTTCTGCTCATGCTAAGTCCATTTTTGAAAAATGACAAAATATAACTCCTAAAACTGCTAAAACTTGATGTCACTTCGTTTTTATTTTTATTTCCAGAAGAAGAAGAAGACGTGTCTTCAGAGGTTTTTGTGTTGTTTCTTTCAGTAGTTCTTGGTGCAGCGCCCCCACAGGCGAGTGGGGGAATAGGTTGGTTCAACAGGTTGACTCGATTGCACAGTGCAGTGTGAATGCAAACTCACCAGCTCAAATGTAAACAAAAGCTCATGAATATTGGTCCCGAACCGAGTCTACAGGACTATCAGGTGTGAAAACGACCTTAGATTCTAGTTTATTCAGAGCTAGAACAGGGGGAAATACGCCAAATAGTGAAATTAGAGGCATAGGGTGAATCATTTGTCCTGTTATTTTTGAAAAAGTTTCAAAAATTGAGCTCCATAAATCATGTAGTTTTGGACACATCCAAAACATGTGCAACAGAGTAGCTGGAGAAGTCTTACAACGGTCACATGTGGGATCCAGGTCTGTCTTGAATCTTGCGAGTTTGTCCTTTGACCAGTGAAGATAATGGACAACTTTAAACTGTATAAAAGAATGCCTAAGAGACATTGATGAGGATGAGATATTATTTAAAACTTGTAGCCAAGTTGACTCTAGTATAGACTCTCCCAATTCCCCTTCCCATCTTTGCTTAAGATCCTCCAGACTAGTCAATTTATTTTCATTAAGCATTATATATATTTTTTTTACCCATGAGCTGCTTTGTACCAGCCTTGTATTTAAATATCAGATCTGACAAGGAAGAGGGGTGTAGAGGAAAACACTCAGTAAAAGTAGATGAGACAAACTGTCTAATTTGCAAGTATCTAAAAAAACGGGATCTATGAATATTAAACTTCTGAGACAACTCTTCAAAAGAGGCAAATCTATTATTTATATATAGATCATTTAAAGACCACATTCCAGATTTCACCCAACTGTCAAATGCCCTGTCCATAACCGAAGGTGTAAACAGGTGTTTTTTTGCTAACGGAGCAGACAGCCACATCTCAGTAAGATTAAAGGCTCTTGATTGATTCCAAATTTTGACTGAATGAATAACGACAGGATTCTGTGTATACGAAGAGATTGTTTTTTTAAATGGTAGGCTGGAGCACAATAGCAAGAGATGTTTGTATCGTTGAGCTCTCCTCCAAATCTGCCCAGCTAGGTTTGACATCATCTCTACTCAACCAGTAAAGTAGAGGCTTGATAGTTGCTGCCCAATAATAGTAGAGGAAATTTGGCAGGGACAAGCCACCAGTTGTTCGAGGTAAATGTAGAATTTCTTTCAACGTGGTTGTTTCTTATTCCATATAAACTGGGAAATCTGACTATCTAAGTTGGTGAAAAAGGATTTTGTCAGGCAGATGGGTATACATTGGAACAAATACCAAAGTTTAGGAAGTATACACATTTTTATAGAATTGATTCTTCCACCCAAATAAATGGGAATAGTGTCCCATCTATCCAGATCCTTCTTTAAACTAGAGAGTAGTGGTCGATAATTGCCCTGATAAAGGTCCTTGTGGCTTCGCGTGACCCATAAACCTAAATACTTTATTTTTTTAGATTGACTTTAAAGGGGTTAGATGTAATTTGTTGCCTGAACATAGATGAGACTGGCATTAAATCACTCTTTTGAACATTAATTTTGTAGCCTATTTCTCCAAATTTAGAAATTACAGACAATAACATCGGAATACTTTGCTATGGATCTGATATAAATAGAAGCATATCATCTGCATATAGAGAGACCTTGTGTTCTAGCCCACCACGAAGAATCCCCTTAATTTTAGGGTTCTGCCGTAAGACCAATGCCAGTGGTTCCATTGCAATAGCAAATAGGAGTGGTGAAAGAGGACACCCCTGTCTTGTACCGCGTTGTAGTTGGAAATAACTTGAGAGGTTATTGTTAGTCCGTACAGCAGCCATAGGGAGAGTATGTAACGTTTTGATCCAGGATAAGAATTTGGGACAGAACTTAAAATACGTCAAAGATTTGAAACAATGTATGATTTTTAAAATAATTTATTTGTGTGTTATTGCTGCAAATAAGCATTTGAACACCAGCCAATCAGCAACAATTCTGACCCTCAAAGACCTGTTAGTCCGCCTCTAAAAAGTCCACCTCCACATACCTTATTATTCTAAATTAGAAGCACCTGTATTGTTAGCTGCATAAAGACACTTGTCCACCCCACACAATCAGTAAGACTCCAACTACTAACATGGCTAAGACCAAAGAGCTGTTCAAAGACACCAGAGACAAAATTGTAGACCTCCACAAGGATAGAAAGGGCTACGGGGCAATTGCCAAGCAGCTTGGTGAAAAAAGATCAACGGTTGGAGCAATTATTAGAAAATGGAAGAAGCTAAACATGACTGTCGGTCTCCCTCGGACTGGGGCTCCATGCAAGATCTCACCTCGTGGCGTATCAATGATCCTAAGAAAGGTGAGGAATCAACCCAGAACTACATGGGAGGAGCTGGTCAATGACCTAAAGAGAGCTGGCACCACTGTTTCCAAGGTTACTGTGGGTAATACACTAAGACGTCATAATTTAAAATCATGCATGGCACGGTAGGTTCCCCTGCTTAAATCAACACACGTCCAGGCCCGTCTTAAGTTTGTCCATGACCATTTGGATGATCCAGAAGAGTCATGGGAGAAAATTATGTGGTCAGATGAGACCAAAATAGAACTTTTTGGTCTTAATTCCACTCGCCGTGTTTGGAGGACGAAGAATGATGAGTACCATCCCAAAAACACCATCCCTACTGTGAAGCATGGGGGTGGAAGCAACATGCTTTGGGGGTGTTTTTCTGCACATGGGACAGGACGACTGCACTGTATTAAGGAGAGGATGACCGGGGCCATGTATTGTGAGATTTTGGGGAACAACCTCCTTCCCTCAGTTACAGCATCGAAGATGGGTCGTGGCTGGGTCTTCCAACATGACAATGACCTGAAGCACACAGCCAGGATAACCAAGGAGTGGCTCCGTAAGAAGCATATCAAGGTTCTGGTGTGGCCTAACCAGTCTCCAGACCTAAACCCCATAGAAAATCTTTGGAAGGAGCTCAAACTCCGTGTTTCTCAGCGACAGCCCAGAAACTTGGCTGATCTAGAGAAGATCTGTGTGGAGGAATGGGCCAAAATCCTACTGCAGTGTGTGCAAACCTGGTGAACAACTACAGGAAACGTTTGACCTCTGTAACTGCAAACAAAGGCTACTGTACCAAATATTAACAATGATTTTCACAGGCATTCATATACAAAGTACTTATTTGCAGCAGTAACACAAAAATAAATTCTTTAAAAAAATCATACATTGTGATTTCCAGATTTTTTTTATTTTTTTAGATTATGTCTCTTACAGTGGACATGCACCTAAGATGAAAATTTCAGACCCCTCCATGATTTCTAAGTGGGAGACCTTGCAAAGTCGCAGGGTGTTCAGATACTTATTTTCCTCACTGTAAACTCAACTTGTCTTAACTTCCATTTAGAAAAGTTAAAGAATTCAACTCTTTGAATTACAATCACAAAACAGCACAAACTTAAAAAAACATGTCCTCTCATTATTAAACCTTACCGAATTATTTGTTACAATAGTCACCCAACATCTCTGAAACTAATATTTGTCTCAGGTTTTCATCCCTTAGGTCACAATATAATTTTCTACTTTAAATCTTTTTATTAACTTAGATTTCATGATCTCTTCGTACATTTTGAAAGGCAAACACCCCTGAGTTCCACCAAAATAGGTTTACTAATCTAAAAAGAAGGTCTAATGTTGGTCTTGTAAATGAGTCTCCGAGGCTCAGTGTGATTTATCTGTCTAAATAAAGGATGAATGAATGAATGAATAATTTTAGTCTTTACTACACAACTTTGGTTTTTGATCTTATTTGTCATAATGTAGAGAAAATGCAAGTCCTATTTCCTGGGTGGAACTGAATTCTATCAAAGACAACCCCCTAGTTTATTCATTGGGCACAGTAAAGGATCTGTGCGCCATCTTGGATTCCTATCCAAGATGGCGCCATGTACGGTCGCCCTGGCATTCTGGTGCGCTCTGTTTTTTCGGTTTTTGTGCTTTAATCATGTGTCTGCATGCTCCTACACTCGCGAGGAGCTACTAAACATCAGAATTACAACCCATGAGGACATTACTCCAGTTTATTTAGTGCCTGCTGCAGAACTTGTGCACTTTTTGGCCAAAAGAGTGAGACTTCGCAGGAGGGGCAGAAGAGCCGGAGCGCTCATGCGTCTCCGGAGGCGCGGTACACGCACACCTTTACCTGGGATATTTCTCTCCAACATCCGTTCCCTCTACAATAAAATGGACGAGATAGCGCTGCTGATGAGAAGGAACAGCGATTTTTCCTCCTCCTGTGTGCTGTGCTTCACGGAGACATGGCTCAAGGAGCAGACCCCGGACTCCGCGCTCCATCTCGAGGGTTTCCAGCTCCTCCGCGCTGACAAACAGCGGGAACTTTCTGGAGGAAAGGCAGAGGAGTCTGTTTCTTTATCAACAACGCCTGGGGCTCCGACGTGACAGTGATCTCCCAGCACTGCTCTCCTTCTCTGGAATATCTCTTCATAAACTGCAAACCGTTCTACTCTCCACGTGAGTTTACTTCATTCATTCTGGCCGCTGTTTACATCCCACCGTGCGCGGACGTGCACGAGGCTGAGCGCGCGCTCGCGGACCAGATTACGAGTGTAGAGCGAACTTTTCCGGACTCCCTTGTTATCATCCTTGGAGATTTTAACAAAGCAAACCTCAGGCATGAACTACCTAAATATAAACAGTTTATTACATGCCCGACAAGAGAAGGAAACACGCTGGATCACTGTTACACCACAGTGAGCGGTGCTTATCGTGCTGTGCCTCGTGCTGCCCTGGGTCTCTCAGATCATGAGATGATTCACCTCATACCTGCATACAGACAGAGACTGAAGCTCTCAAAACCTGTGGTGAGGACATCCAAAAAGTGGACCAGTGAAGCTGTGGAGGAGCTACGCACGTGTTTGGACACCACAGACTGGGACTTGTTCAGGGCTTCTACAGACAGTCTAGATGAATACACAAACACTGTGACGTCATATATACATTTCTGTGAGGACAGCATCATCCCATCACGCTCCAGAGTCATTTTCAATAATGATAAACCCTGGTTCACATCCAAACTAAGACAGCTTCGTCAGCAGAAGGAGGCTGTTTTCAGAGAGGGGGACAGAGACAACTACAGACGTGCAAAGTATGGATTTAGCAGGGAGGTGTCAAAGGCTAAATCCAGGTACAATGCACGGCTGCAACAACAGTTCTCTGCAAACGACTCTGCCTCTGTCTGGAGGGGGCTGAAAGAGATAACTAACTACAAGCCCAGAGCACCTCATTCTACAGACAATCTCAAACTGGCAAACGATCTGAACGACTTCTATTCACGATTTGAAGTCATGGACTCACATTCCTCCATCCTCCACACCAACCCCAGCTCAACTGGTTTAACCACTTGGGACTGCCCCCGACAACCCCCTGCTATCTCTGTACAAGAGGATGAAGTAAGGAGGCTTTTTAAAAGGCTGAATACACATAAGGCTGCAGGCCTAGACCTTGTGTCACCCTCCACGCTGAGACATTATGCAGGAGAGTTGGCTCCGGTCTTCACAGGGATATTCAACTCTTCACTGGAGTCATGCCACGTCCCAGCCTGTTTCAAGTCCTCCATCATCGTCCCTGTCCCCAAGAAGCCACGTGTCACAGAACCAAATGACTACAGACCTGTAGCTCTCACGTCTGTAGTCATGAAAACCTTTGAACGCTTGGTTTCATCTCACCTCAAGTCCATCACCAACCCCCTCCTGGACCCCCTGCAGTTTGCCTACAGGGCTAACAGGTCTGTAGATGACGCAATAAACCTGGCTCTTCACTTCATCCTGCAGCACCTGGACTCCCCAGGAAACTACGCCAGGATCCTGTTCGTGGACTTCAGCTCCGCATTTAACACCATCCTCCCTGCTCTGCTCCAAGACAAGCTCTCCCTGCTCCATGTACCTGACTCCACCTGCAGGTGGATCACAGACTTCCTGACAGACCGGAGTCAGTGCGTGCGGCTGGGGAGAGCTGTCTCGGACACTCGGACTATAAGCACAGGATCTCCACAGGGCTGTGTGCTTTCCCCCCTGCTTTTCTCCCTGTACACCAACTGCTGCACCTCCAGCCATGACTCTGTGAAACTTATTAAGTTTGCAGATGACACCACCCTCATTGGGCTCATCTCGGACGGTGATGAGTCTGCATACAGGAGGGAGGTGGACCGGCTGGTGACCTGGTGCAGCAGCAACAACCTGGAACTCAATGCCCAGAAGACAGTGGAAATGATTGTGGATTTCAGGAAAGCCACAGCCCCTCTGCCCCCCCCTCACCTGTAATGATACCCCCATCACCACTGCAAATTCTTATCGGTTCCTCGGCACCTCCATCACCCAGGACCTCAAGTGGGAGCCGACCATCAGCTCCCTCATCAAGAAGGCCCAGCAGAGACTGTACTTCCTGCGACAGCTGAAGAAGGCCAAGCTGCCGGCCAAGCTGATGGTGCAGTTCTGCACAGCCATCATCGAGTCCATCCTCAGCTCCTCCATCACGGTGTGGTACGCCGGGGCCACTGCCAGGGACAGACTCAGACTGCAGCGCGTTGTGCGCTCAGCTGAGAAGGTGATCGGCTGCAGCCTTCCATCCCTCCACGACCTGTACATCTCCAGGACTGTGAGGCGAGCAGGTCGGATCACAGCTGACCCTGCTCACCCTGCACACGGACTGTTTGAACCACTCCCCTCAGGCAGGAGGCTTCGGTCCATTTGGACCAGAACATCCCGCCATAAGAACAGTTTCTTCCCCTCTGCTGTTGGACTCCTGAACACACATAATGCTACCTCATAATTTCTGCTTTGGTCACATTACATCTGTATTATAATTGAATACTCCATATGTACTGTTCTCTAAGCTTTTTTATTGTTTTCTATTGTATGGGTGTACATATGGTTATGTTATGTTTTTAATTTTACTTTATTTGTGGGTGTACACAGGCTTATGTCTTATGTAATGTTCTCATTTTTACTTAATTTTTACTTTATTTTTACTTTATTTTACTTTACTACTATTCGCACCTTATGTCGAAGCAAATTCCTAGTTTGTGAACCTCGTTCATTGACATGGCGATAATAAACTGATTCTGATTCTGATTCTAAAATAAACTCCTTGTTAATTTGGTGATTCGACACTCCTTAAAGTGAGTTCAGGTCAGAAAATGTTCAATCTCTGCCATTTCTCCTGTAAAGCCTCATAATATCCAACCCCTTTCAGCGCAGGCAGCTCATCCCGTGGTATTTGAACATAACTTTAATCATTTTTGTCAGAAGTTATAAATGTGTTAGTTTTCTGCTCTCTCCTCACGCACTCACAACAACCTGTAATGTTGCTGCTAAAACAGGACGGTTACCTGTGTTTTATGATCACATTCTCATTGGCTAGTCTATGCAGACCTGCAAAAATAAGATGAACAAAACATTAAAAAAATATTTGTTTAACAGAAAAAACACAATGAAATCAGAAATGGGGAAAAACTTTTAGTTATACAGGACATGGTAAATGCAAAAAGTTACAAAGTACAACAACGAGACTTCTATTATGTAGATAAAGAAGCTTTTTTTTATTGAGAAAGATGTGATGTGAACTGTTTTCATCTACAGAGTAGCAGTCCAGTTGATTTATTTTGTTGTTGCTTTGTTTTAATTCTCAAATAGAGAACACTTCACTTCAATTGTCTGCAATCAAACCTTTAGCCTTGCCATGTCGGGCTAACAAAGGATCCATACTGCTGTGGCGTCTGAAAAGGCAGACAGCTGCAACCATGAGGACACACCACAGGACGGCACCCATGCTACCGATCAGCACCGGGTCCTGAAGCAGGTCCAGCACACCAGACACATTCTTCTCCGTCTCTGGATGAGTTTCAAACGGTGGGTCTGCAGAACAACAGGAAGGGATGATGCAGGGATTGACAGAAGCACAGAATAAAATGATGCAGACAGCTGCTGATCTCACTGATGATGAATCCATGAGGGTCACTAAGCGTTCCAACTCCTGCTCCGTTCACTGCTGCCATGGTGACCCAGTACTGCTGTCCTGCTTTCACAGTGGAGATGTTCAGGCTGTGCTGCCCGCTGCCCACAGTCCAGTTCTGGTACTGCTTCTGACCAGCCTCCACACACCATACCTTAAAACAAAGAAAACTACATTAAACAAAAAGATAAACTAACTCAACAGGTTTTCTTTTTCATTAACTTCAAAATTTTGAAGTTGGACACTGTGAGTCGTCACATTTCCACCCCTGCTGTCTAATTGTGTGATGGGCTGAACTGGAATGTGTTTTGGTACTAGTAGTAATGTTTTAGAGCACTTTAGTACTCTTTCCACCTCTGTGAGTGTGGGGATATTTTGTTTTGAAATTACATATTAAAATATGAGGATTTTTATTTAATTTAAAAGTTGTTCTCTCGTCCTTTGAGACCCCATCCTGTTAAGAGTTCCATTAGGGCCTAAAAAATCAGAACCGGTCCCAGCCCGTAGCCATTTATTCCGAGCCCAACCCGACCAATTTGCCTGTAATTATGTAATTACACCTGACACCCCCCCCCCCACACACACACACACACACACATGCACACGCACACACACACACACACACACAAAAGAAAGTAAGAAAGAATTTAAGCTTTTACTGCTTTTGTAAGTAAATCAGTTTGACATGATTTAAAAACATATTTCAAAGAAAGGAATGTATAAGATTTATTGTTTCACCAAATGGATATTAACATACAAAATGAATAGCCTAAGAAAATCAACTCTAAAGACATGCTATTATACAGATGAACAAAAATATTTTTAGAGCTAAATTATTTGGAAAAATATAAAACAAGGCTATTTTAATTGAACATGCTGCTTGCTTCGGCTTTTGTAGATGCTGCTACTTCCTTCACCACAGATGACAGCAGGTGTGGAGCTGGACGTGCACGGCGGGTGATACATCCGACCGGTCAGCGGGCGTGCGCGGCCGTTGATCTGATGATCCATCTGAAGCTTCACAGGACTTTTTTTTTTTTACCTCTTTCAACCGGCCGGTCGGACGTGAGCGTGCACCTGACACACATCAGCAGGTTTCACAGCTTGCTGTGTAGAGTGAGTTCTCCCATTTTAAAACCGCATCAAAAGCCCGAGACCGACCTAGCCCGCCCATCAAGCACATCATTTTGGCCCGACCCGGCCCAAATTTCGGGTTGGGCCAGGCTTGAAATTGCAGCTCTACCTCCTGCTATAAAAGAACTTGGGAACTTTTACTCAAAGTTAATTTTTAATGACTATTTATTTTTACTTGAGTATATTTTACTTGTAATTGAGTAGTTCTTCAACAGAGTAACTGAATATTTATTTGTGTGTGTTATTTTAGTACTCTTTCTACCTCTGAGTGGGACAAATCTAGCTGGCGTGGATAGTTCCAGCATCTGTTTAATGGTCCACTGTATTGGACTTGTGTAAACTTGTGTCCATATTTGCAGAGTTTATGACACAAAATTAGTTTCCATCCATCCATTATCTTTACCCGCTTATTCCATTTTGGGTCACGGGGGTCGCCGGTGCCCATGTCCAGCAATCACTGTGCGAGGGGCGGGGTACACCCTGGACGGGTCGCAAGTCCATCCCAGTGCCACATAGAGACAAACGTCCTGATGCATGCTCAATAATCCAGGTAGAAAAATCTAAAAAAGTTAAATCTGGTCCTCTGGACATTCAAAAAAACCAAAACAAAGCAAAACAACAAAAAATGTAGAAACGTTTCGTCTCTCGTCCGAGAGACTTCTTCAGTCTGAGGTGCTGTTTTCAGCTCAGTCTCTTAAAGAGCACCTTCTCAGAGTGGATCACCCAGTTTTGCTGCTGACAACCAAAACCAGCTGATCACATGCTCAAGAAGGACCATCAGCCTAACAATGGATCATTAGCACACTGATGGCTGTTTACTATTCACAGAGGGCTGAGTGATACTAGTAATCACAGCATTGTAAGAGGGGGACAATTGAACACGTAGGCCTCCACCCCTGTTTAATGATGGACGGTTTCTTTTCACAAAGATGGCCTCCTTTACTCCTCTCTCAAACCATCGTTCCTCTCTATCCAGGATGTGCACATCTTCATCCCTGAAAGAGTGACCGCTGGCCTGGAGATGAGTGTAGACCGCAGAGTCCTGGCCTGATGATGTTGATCTTCTGTGCTGGGCCATCCTTTTGGCCAGTGGCTGTTTTGTTTCCCCGATGTAAGACTGATCACAGCCCTCCTGACACTGAACAGCATACACAACATTACTCTGTTTGTGCCGGGGGACTGGATCTTTGGGATGACCCAGTCTTTGCCGTAATGTATTTTGGGGTTTAAAAGCCACTGGGACGTTATGTTTAGAAAATAAACGTCTCAGTTTCTCTGATACTCCCTCAACATATGGAATGACCACTGGTCTGGGTCTGGGTTCCTCCTTTTCACCTGTTGGCTGACTGGAAGGAAGGTGCACAGTGATTTTGATCCAGAAAGACTATCATGAGAAAGTTATGACACTCCTTAGTGACGTAAACACTTATGAACCTCTGAAAAGAGATCCAGGAAGTGGTTACAAGAAGAAATTGATAGATTGCCTGAAAATTTTGGAGCAGGACAAGGCTATTGACCGTTTTCTGTACCACAGACTGTACCCAGGGGAGGCCACACCTAGTCTGTATGGTTTACCTAAAATCCACAAACAAGGTGTACCTTTAAGACCAATTGTTAGCATGATTAACTCTGTCACTTACAATGTTTCCAAATATCTGGCGTCTGTACTCATCCCTTTAGTTGGCAGCTCAGAACACCACATACAGAACACCATGGACTTTGTGGATAAGGTGAGGGATGTCATCATGGAGACTGATGAAACAATGGTCTCTTTTGATGTCACATCACTCTTTACGTGCATTCCTGTTGATGATGCAGTAGAGGTGGTCAGTTTAAAATTAAAATCAGACACCACTCTGAGCAGCAGGACCACGCTTTCCACAGAACAACTGTGTCAACTCTTGAAACTGTGCCTGCAGTCAACCTACTTCACATATGGGGAGCAATATTATAGGCAGAAACATGGGTGTGCTATGGGGTCTCCAGTTTCTCCTATTGTTGCCAACCTGTACATGGAGGAGGTAGAAAAGAGAGCCTTGACGTCCTTTTCAGGGACACCACCAAGTCATTGGTTCAGGTATGTTGACGACACCTGGGTTAAAATTAAATCTCAGGAAGTCCAACATTTTACTGACCACATCAACTCTGTGGATAAATACATCAAGTTCACACGAGAAGATGAAAAAAATGGCAAGTTGGCTTCTTGGACTGTGAGGTCTCAGTCTCTGATAGAGGACATTTGCAAACTGAGGTGTACTGCAAACCCACCCACACAGACCAGTATTTGCAGTTTGACTCCCATCACCCTTTGGAGCACAAGTTAGGAGTCATCAGGACTCTGTATCACAGAGCAGACAGC